TTAACATTTCGATGTTTTTGCACTATGATCCAATGGAAAATAAGCCACCTATTGAATAAAAAATTTCTGATGTGACCTGATAAGAATATCGATCGATTTTTATTAAACCACTCGTTGAAACAGTTTTTAGAAAAAAATTACCATTATTATTCACAAATCATGTGAGATTATATCTAATAGAAAAATTTCTATACTAAACAAAATCACTGGGACAGTTTATATCCACTTAGATATGTTATAGATATATATAGACAGCAAATACTGTTTGTTCCGTCAAATTCATTTACTCAGGTTTCAAAACAAAAAATAAGGCTCATACTGCTACTCGGTATTACATCGGAAGTGTTGAAAACCCAGAACAATGGTTACTTATTTACTCTGAACTGTCCAGTACCGTAAACAAGTACATCTCATCAAGTAATAAATTATGAACATTTAAAAAATACAACACACTGCTGAGGAATCTCAAAATAGAACGAAACAGCTTCCAGGATTTCCATCGTGGCCCGGATTCAATTGACTCGTGAATTAACTATTGAAACAAGATATTGTTTAAACATTGGATAAGAATTCAATTCTTTATATTTTGCAATACAAGTAATGCAATCTACATTCTGTCTCACTACTGATTAACTGAGTTATCACTCAGTTGATAAAACATATCATGAATCGTCAGTAGAATATTGTGAAATCAATCTCATACTCCATCAACAATGAGAATACAATGGATGGATATGTAATAGAATGCTTTTTATACACGTTCCGGTAATGTATAATAGCAAAGATAGTATCTTACAAAAAGTGTAAACGAGTAAGCAATTGCACACCTAATTCGACTGTCTACTCATCGTTTGTCTTAAAGAAACGAGAACGAATTGAATGGTTGATAATGTTGTTGGAAATGTTGAAAGTTGATTGAGTCAACTTTGTGCAACAGACACACATAGATGAACGTGTGAAGGATAATCATTCAATGAATTAATCATCACAAATAGAAATATTCGTGTTCTCATAATCAAAACATTATATTGATGACATTTCAATGATATTTGCTTTATGTGTTTCGTATTGAGATTGTTTTAGAGTTGAGTGGTTTTACTGACTAAATCATCATGTTCTCAATAATGTATGTTGTATGACTTTATTTGATAAAGTACTTTGTTAACCGGGTAATTTAGAGCATTCATTATAATAAGATTTTATTAATCATTAAATTAATTAATCAAATCAACATAATTGTGTATTTTGATCCTACTACATACTTTAAATCATTCATTGTAGTTTCGCCTTAAAAATATGTTTTATACCAATAAATTTATTCATTTCATAAAGTTATGGATCCCATGACAGCAAAGTTGACAAAAATTCTTACAATATTCATCATTGTCTTTCTTCATTCTCATATCAACTATTCAAATGCCTAACTTTTAATTGTAATACAAATACAATCGAATTACTGAATATGAATCTAATGAGTCTTAATCGTGTTATATTTCATTTCCGTCCAAAATAGTATCAAGCTTTTTACAAGATTAAAAAAAATTATTTTATTTCGTCGAACAAAAATCGCTTTTTTCAGAAGGGGTTTGTGGAGATTTTAGAAATTTTACAGATTCAAATCATGAGTCAATTGAAGCTAGACCACCATGGAAAACTTGCAAGCACTAGATGGCCGTTTCGTCCTAGTATGGGACTCCTCAGAAGTGCGCATCCACGATCCCGCACCACGCGAGGTTCGAGTGATAGGTCCTGGGTTCGAATCTCGCGGGGTGCGGGATCGTGGATGCGCCCTTCTGAGGAGTCCCATACTAGGACGAAAAATTCGTTTTTACCATAATAAATTCGCAATAAAAAAAATGATCCAAAAGTTCAATATAATTTGAATCGAACTAAATATTAGACTAAGCTTTGCATATAAAACAGTAAAGATCATGACACCATCACCATCACTACGATAATGTAAATAATTATGCTCTTAACAAGTGACTCTATTTTATATTAATATAGAAACAAATTGATTGATTAGTGAAAATATAAATATTTAGCAAAAGAGAGAAAGTTTTTCTTATCATATTCTAGTGTACATTATATCTGTTTAACAATAATGTGACCTTACTAATCAATGTTCGTGTGTATTTTTCGATTGCATCAAAGTACTCAAATTGTATATGAATATGAGAAAACTTCAACACTGAATATATATTGATCAACGAATTAAATATATTTCGTCATATTAAACAAAAGAACTTATTTTCTATACCATTATTATTTATTTTGTCAATAATACAATTTTGTGGGAAATACAAACAAATTAGTTTACTAAGGTGACTATATGGAAAAAAATGTATAATGGAAAATGTTTTTATGTTCGAAATTCAGATATCTTCAAGAAATTACTAAAGTGTTGGATAGTGAATTGTTTTGATTTAAAACTTTGCCAAATGATGAGTGTACAAGGAATAATTGACACAAAATCCTATGAATTATGTACATTGAAGTTATTAAATTGAAAGTTAATAGTGTATCTAGTTAGCTTCAATGAATGTAGAATATTTGTCATCCTATTCCGTCAATGAATAAAACCCATAGATCAAAGGTTTCCTGATAGACTTCGGTCTACAAATTAGTCAGTGTTAATCACATGGTTATTAGTGAAGCTTTAACTTCATACTGATCAAAACTTACAAACTGATTCATTTATAAGCAAAGATGGATAGTGGCTAGCAGTGGAATCCAGGATGCGCGTTTCATCCTATGTGGGACTCGTCAGTTGGATGTACCTGCATCTGAGAGTTGATGTTCACTCCGGGACTCCAATCCAGTACCGTTCTCTGCAAACGTCAATTTAATTTACATTTTATCCAATAAGCAACTTGGCATAATTGAATATACCAAATGGTTAATTATATAATTGTAAGCTAAATATTAATTTCTATAAAAATTCATGGTTTAAATGGAAATTTAACTGACTTTTTTTATCGAATGCCAAACGCCGTCTTTAAACAGATTTCATCTTTAATTAATAATTAATTCCCTTCCCATACTATTTTTATATTAATAATTATTTATTCATAAAATGATGACTGACCGATTGATTTTAAACTTTACCAACCATCATCATTCTTACTATCGACCGATAACAGTGATAATAAGTGGGAAAACATTGATTTTTCTGACTTAAATTATAGTGGTTAAAGTTCTGTTTAGTTATGATGAATTTATTGATTTCTGCACGAACAATAAAATGTTTCCATTATTATAACACAAATAAAAAGTATCAAATAAATTAAAGATGTCATATTGAATGTAAGTAAGTGAAGTAAAATGTGAATTTAGTAAAGAAGAGTAAAAATGTGACTGACGACGGAATTCAGGAAATGAGTTTAGTTAAATGTATCTTCGTCGCAGTAATTATATTCACTCCGGGTTTCTAACCCAGTACCGATGTTTTCAAACACCACTAAGTTATCTAACCAGCTAATGAGTCCAGGTAACTTTCATCTGTGTAAGAAGTATGAGTTGTAACTCAATTTGAAATTGATTGTACTATTCGGTTGGCTCTATTGAATCAATCTGTACAGGATGAACATATGTCAACCAAGACTGATTGAATTTCAGTCAAAATTATCAATAACGTGATAATATTATCAATTTCAAATTAAATTAAAAATCAAACCATCATAACTCATCAGAATAACGTTTGGAAACTTACTTGAAAAATCACTCTATTTGATAATATCAATATTAACTAATTGTTTAGATAAGAAAAAATAATACTTAATAAATAATAGTAGTATAACAGAACTGTGATTTTATTAACTCCGCAACTAATAATTAAACTTATATTCTATTTGAATAAGAGGTTTATAGAGATCATTTACTTGCTACAGATAGCTTATATCATAGCTAAGTTCAGTGACTGATACAATTTTAGATGAATCATTTCTGAAACGTCACCTACTAATATGAAACATCTCTTTATTGTCCTCTGACTTTTAGTTGAAATCAAAAGAACATTTTTCTAACAAGGCTTCAGTCGTATATCATTTATTTAACAAAATTTAATTAAAAGTGTATAAAATATGATGCTTTAAAACGAAATAAATCACATGACTGGTATTACTACTATAGCACAGTTATAATCAACCTTACAGTTTATATCAATAAAATTGAACAATGACATATTCTAACCATTAACTACTAAAAGTAAATTTTGTTGCAAACTAAAACTGATTGTTGAATGTTTAAAGCCAAATGACTTAAATATTTGTCGTTTAATGTATAATAAGTTAAGAAGATTCATTTCTATCTAATAAAATAATACCCCCAAAAAATGGATTTAAATACCAATTGACACTTCGACAAATTTAAATTACAAAAACAGTAATATCTAACTTGATAAGTTTTCTTTTTAATACTAATACGTTGATATATAAGTAGAAAATTGTATTACAAAAACTGAACATTGAAATATCATAGTTAAATTTATTATCATTTTTGTATAAAACTGGTATTTAATATTCTTCACAAAATCTCCATAGTAATTATAATCATGCACTCATTAGTGAATAACTATAAGACATAAGTCTTTTTTTATTTTCAGTGAAACACCTTGACTGTTAGAGATCAACCATACCGACTGAAATGCAATATCAAGAGTTAATAGTTTGGCAACATTACTAACTTTTTTCAAGTTAGATATGTCACTCAGATTTCAACTCAGCGATCTAAATATTAAGCACATTTTATTAGACGTCCAGGTGAAGTTCTAAACATCTGGTGTAGTCATGGATGTGTACTGTTAAGGCATTTTATAATAGAACAAAATACCTGTCGAGTATTACTTTGCTTTCAATGGTTTGCTAGCAAAATTCAATCCATGATATAACCTACTGAAAACTGACTTATTTCTACCATGAGTAAATAGTTGCCACTTAGAAAGTAATAGATTCATTTCAACATTCTTAACAATCTATGGATGATATACCGACAATAAAAATTTAACTTTCATAGAAGAAAAAAAAAGCATAATTATTACTAATGCTAACTTCCTTATTATTAATAATCAATGAAAAAGGATATCCCCATTCAATTATACTTCGTGCTGCTTTACGTATTAGATTATTTTTTGAAAAAACAAAAAGTGCACGATTTGTTGAATTTTGTGATTCTGGCAAATCAATATTTAATGTATCTTTAGCTAATTGATTAATTGTTTCATATTTAGGATCACGATTTCTACTTTGATCAATATCTGATTGTTTATTTTGTATATTTATAGAATGATTATTAATATTATCTTGATTAGTTATTGAATCACTGGTTGATATCATGATCAAGAGTACAATTTTCTAATAAATAATTGATTGAATGTAGTTCATTTGTTCGAGATTAAATTCATAGAACTATCAGTTAATTTGATGTTTGTGGAAGAAAATATCATCCTTTTTTCAAGTTTTACTATGGATTATTGTAGTATCATCTTGAAAATACAAAATGGTTAAACATAGATGCTTGTTTTTAAAAACAACAATAATAATAATAATACTTTTTCAAATAAAATGTATATTCCAAGAGTTAAAACATCCTATCATTACTTGATAACAGATATAATGGTGCAATCTTTCAAGAACTTTTTTATTTCCATTTGTTTGACTTAAAACCTTGTTGTTTTTTTCTTCAAGAAAAAAAATTATAAAGTTTTTGATCCTAAATTTGAGTACTGTTTTAGTGAGATCAAGGCTCTTCAACAGGCATTATAAACATATATATATATATATAAGTTTGCATATGTGATAGGTTGTTAAATAGGATGGTAGGTAGATAGATAAATAGACAGGTACAAACAACTATATACAGAAGGATTAAAAATTTGCAGTATGCTCACATGTGTGAATTATGCTTTAAGTCTGTCCCACTGAAACTGTATCTATCCCACTATTTTATATACATATCATCTTAGTTGACTAATAACCAAGTATCTTTATTTTTGTATATATATATATATATATATATATATATATATATATATATATATATTTAAATTTGGTAAAAGTATAAGCAGTTGATAAGGGAGGATTGAATAAATAAGTAAGTATCTATATACTTTATTGATAAATAGTAGTAAACATTGAATTCATTTAGTCAAATTATCCAATATAATTGAAAATAATTTTGTCATACTATACAAATTAATTTAAGTTTGTAATTAATAACTAATTTTAGTAACATTCATGAATGATTCAAATTGAACTTAACTCCCTAAGGTATTTTATTTCACGGATCTGTGATATTTTTTAAAGGTAAACAGAAATGTATAATCAATTTGTGGTTAAGTAGTTAACTAGAGATTCATAATTGAATAATTATTAATTAAATAGTTTCTGCTTCACAAAATAAAATGATATGGGATTGATTGATTGTTTGATTTTACAATACATTCTTACTTTGTCACAGAAATAATACATTTGGGATGACTGAAAAGAAGTGAATGTGTGTTTTCCTGATATTTTATAAAAACTTCTACAAATAATCGTGAAGGGAATATCAAATCTAGGATACAGGTACATCCAACTGACAAGTCCCATATAGGACAAGATACATGTACTGGATTTCACTGTTAACCATCATTCATCTTTGCTTATAAAGCTTGTGATTTAAGGTAATATTGAAGCAATCTGCAAAGGATGCATATATACCAATAAGAGAGTGATAAACTGAAGTCCTAACTATCAATGGGAAGATTCAAACAAACAATACAAAATGAGTAATAACTAATTTTTGTAAATTACTACACGTTTTAAAGACAATTCAGCAAAGAAAATGTTTATGACAACATCATTAATTCGAACTGTACATTTGTGTCTATAGTGAATTAGTAAATAAAGTAGTTTATTTAAAGATACAAAGAAGAGTATATAATTTCAAATAACAAAAGAGCGTTGCGTAATGATCAACAATTTAAAGAAAGGGAATAAGAAGAGACCAAATACATGAAAGATAGTTGTCCAATTGACTACTATGGGAAATGTAAACTGTAAACTAAAAGCATGAAGGTAAGTATAATAAATAATAATAATAAATTAAAAACACTAAAATGAGAGTTTGTACATGTCACTTAGAATGCAGAGTTCAAGTTTAAAATGATGAATCGATGATACCTATACAATCCATAAGTCATTGTTTGACTACGCAAATGATTTTAAAGAATATATCTAATCAGATATGTAATCAGACTTGAATAGATATTTCGTTATTGAATTCTAGATTATTTTACATTCTTCTTTCGAAATACATGCAATATTGTTCTCGGAAGTGCAGTTAGAAAGTGTCTTCTTTATGCGGCCGTTGTAGTCTGTTCCGCAAGACCATGCAAACTTATTGATACACATTTGAATTTCGGTTAGTGCAGAGAGAATCAAATAACCGCTAAACACCAAAAACACTGGAACTGCGTTACCCCAATTCCTATTAACAGAGAATATATATGTGGTATCGGTTTCATGCATACTAGAATTAATGTTGGATGAGTGTGAGTAAAAATATCACAGTACAGCTGTACAAGTATTTTTAGATTGGCATTTTCGATAGACTATGCTATTTGGCTGTATAATGTTTGTCTTTATTAAACAATGGTAACATTCGGTGTTACATGAAATGCTTCTATTGTGGTGCGTGCTACTTATATTGATATAAGTAGTAGACGACGCGAGTCAGGAATGTAATGTCTGGCGGCAGAAGATGGGGAAGATCAAGAAAGGAAGAGTGGGAATAGAAAGCAAATAGTATGGAAATGCAAGAACAATGAAATTCGAGACAATTATTGAACATTTTGCAAATTCAGTATTATAGTATGGTTTTTCTATTTTACCAAGTAACTCTGTAATTTGTGCTAAATATGATTCGGTTGTCCTCACCTGTGTTCTCCTTCACTACACTATTAGTGGTCTTTTAGTACGATATAAAACGATCTTTTTCAATGTTAACAGATTCATAACAACCACTTAGCGATTACTGAATTTATAATATGATTAATAAGGGTCTTTGCGCAGCTTGATCGTTATTTATTATAACCTAGGAGTGCATAGAGTGCTCTTCAATATAGAGCGTGAGACAACCGACATACACGTAGCTTCATAAATAATCATGTGCGGTGAAAACCAAGTTGTTACAATCGATGGGTTTATTATATTTAATAGTTAATTGCATACTACTGGTCCTGACTTTGAGTTACTCTTAAATGAGCGTTGAGAACTTAGTGCGCCCAATGAGACATGGATATACTAAATGGAAAACCTACTCTGAAAAAGATGAGCTTGCGTAATTCTGCTCCATATGATGTAATGTTCCTTCGTGAGAGATCTCTCGTCATCGGCCACTAAATTACAAGTCTTCTACAGTTATTCATTATACAATGGCTTATAAAGAAACTATGAATGTTTCACAACTAACCTTGAACTTCGAATTTCGAAAGTTATTGGCTTGAAATTCCTGTCTAGACTTACTAATTAGGGTCATTTTCCCTAATATTTTTGTCATATTTCTCAGCATTAATTGTTCTAGAATCAGGACTAAGTTTGAATGTGCCGAACAACATTCTCGTACGACATTATACAGGCAATAAAACTGACTATATGACCTTGATTTCAATTCTGTTTGAGATTGTGAGTGCACGGAAGTCTTGAACTAAAGTCAAACAATTATCAATGGATTCCTAGTTTTTAGTAGCTTAGGCAGCTGATTTGAGCCTGTAATGTAAGCGGATTTTCAATTGCAAAAGCTGTTCGTAAACACCCATTATTACAGCTAATCACACCGACTATTATTTTTTCATCTAGCTTTCAGAGGTCGCAACTTAATTCGTTAATTTTTCCATATTTTGAAACATTTTTAAGTGCTATTTCCGATACTACAAAATAATTACTTTTGCTTACGACTCAAAATACTAAAAATTCTGTAATGAACGAACTCAGATAGGGACAACCAATTTATCTTCTGTTTCAAAATTACAGAATATCTTGCTAACACATGAGGACCATACATTAAATTCTTCATTTACAAATCTTCCATGAATTTTCCTTTATATTCTGTATGATTCTTTCAACTCAAAATTGCTTTCTATTTCCCGTTCTGTTTTCTTCAAGTCGACCTTCATAGACCTCTGTTACCATGCATCCCACTTCTGATTGGTGTTATATATTACTTATATCTGTCGACATAAGTAGTAAACACCACAATTCAACTAAACTCTTAAAAATAATAATTTCGTAGTCAAACTTAATAAGACAGATGATATTTGAGTTCATACATATTTTCGTCAACATTTCTTTAACAGAATGAGTTTTGCGGAGATTTTAGGGAATTTCACAGGTTGAAATCATGAATCAGTTGAAGCTAGACCACCATTGAAAACCTGGAAGCACTGTGAAATTTCCTAAAATCTCCACAAAACTCATTCTGATAATAATCAACTGCTCACTAGTGACTGACTTCAGGAGAACCTCCTGGAGTTCTAGTGAGAAGCCGTCCCCAGTGGTGTTCAACCAGGTCTGTTGTGAGATATCAGCTCACTGAAGACAATGGTGTACGGTGGCGCAACTTCGTGGATTGGTTGAAGTTAGACATTAACACCGTAGGATGCCAGCTCAGTGATTTAATGGTTAAGTGCTCGCGCGCGAAGCCAGTAGGTCCTGGGTCCGAATCCCGCGGGAGGCGTGTTCGTGGATGCGCACTGCTGAGGGGTCCCGTACTAGGACGAAACGGCCGTCCAGTGCTTCCAGGTTTTCAATGGTGGTCTAGGTTCAACTGACTCATGGTTTCAACCTGTGAAACATTTATTTAAGCCCAATTTTTTAAGTATGCGACTGTATTACAACATGATACAGCCGTGATATATTGCAATTAATCAGTAAGTATATTTTCATCTTAAAAGAAAGCTATAGTTATGGTTACGTAAGGAGTAATTAAATTTCATAACTAATCGATTGATATACAGGCGTTTCACACTGAAATTCATTCCACTGACTAATTGTTGTAAAGATTACATTATAAATGATTTGTTTAATAATTTACAACACATTACACCCACTATAATAAATTTCTATCCGTATCTTCATAAAACGGTTTCATTAAAAAATAATACACTTGAATTCACCATTGAAAAACTCAGTTATTTAATGTTTAAAATATTATAACTTGATGTAATAGAATTTTGTTATTCTTCAACAACCTTTTGTAAAAAATTAAATGTTCCAATGAGTTGTATATACTCTATGTTGAACAGATTGTTCAATGTCATATTTCATTTATCAAAAAGGGTTTTGTGTAGATTTTTAGAAATTT